TCTATAAAACTAGTATAATAGCAAAAACAGAATATGCAGCAAGATTAATAGAAAAGTATTTGGTTCTCCTCTGTGACAAGTGAAATTAATGTATACAATGGAAAAGCAATTACACATTTGGCTTGGGATTAATCTATATGAACACAGAAAAACTGAAATTCAAACAGAACCAGAACCTTGTAAAACCTTCCTTTTTCAAAGTCTAATCCAATGCAAGTAGCTGTCAAACCAACAGAAAAGGCTAAGAGGTAGAACACCATGAAATGAATTACTTTCATTACAATCTTCTCATAATGATTATGGTCGTAAAATTCATATTTCTATAATATCATCTATTCAAGATTATTTCTGCACCCTACCCATTGGTTTTATCCTTATGTCACAGTGAGAGAAACAGATATTTAGAGCATTTAAGTAGTTTACTGAGTATCAGTGAGTAATAAGTAGAGCCGTCAAGTTAGAAAGCTAAAATTAAGCACCATGTGTGTATCTGATGAGTTATCTTTTCTCACTGTATCAACAGGCGTCTTACCTCATGTTTTCAGACATAGCATATTGAAGCTATTCAATATTTTTATTGATGTCCCCTCAGTGTATCTGTCTCCTAAATCCTGATGACTACCATTTCCATTCTCCCTCATCCACCAACCACTAGTACTTCCATGGCACTATTACCTCAAACTGTTTTATCTCCATGATTATACTCTAATATTCCCCTGTGATACACATCTATGACTTTCTACAGTCTATGTCACCCTACCTAAATCTGTTCTGTATACTCTCTTTGATTGCTAAATTCTCCATCCTCATCTGTTTCTCTGGTGTAGTGCAGCAGTGGGGAACTTGCAGCCTCGAGGCCGCACGTGGCCTTTTAGGTCCTTGGATGAGGACTTTTGGCTGAGTCCAAGTCTTACAGCTAAAATCCCCTTTTATTAAGGGGATTTGTTCTGTGAAGTTTAGATTCAGTGAAAGGGCTGCACCTGAGGACCTAGAAAGTCATACATGGCCTCGGGGCCACAGGTTACCCTGGAGTGATGGTCAAATTTTTTAGTCGCAGGCTCTTTTTACACTCTTAAATGATTGAGTACACCAAAGAATTTGTGTTTGTGATTGTTATATCCAGTGGTGTGCTGGCAAATGCTTAACAACCAGTTCTCTGAAAAAAATAATGTACATACTATATGTTTAAGTTTGATCTGCGTTAACATTTTCTCCCTCACTATCTTAAGTCTAGACAATCAACAAAAAATACATCAAACCCTGATTTGTAGAATTTCCCGGTTTCCAAAGTATAAATGCTCATGCTGAAGATTTAATAAGCAGACTCCAGTCAATCCTGGTTTTGTCTATCAATGTGTACCATATTAGACACTAAAATGGATGACTTTTTAAAGTATTCATTTATTAATATTTTAAGCATTAATTTTAAAAAATAATTTATAAAGTATTTATTAATAATTTATTGACAAATCCATTAAATGTTAACACAAATAACATCATGAAAAAAACCTATATTTCCCCACCAGAAAAATTAGTGAGAAATGTGGTATTATTTATATATTTTTCCATGGATAGATTTTCAAGTCTGTGAACTTGGATTGAAAACAATTATACCTTTATTAACTTCTAATTGAAATCAAGCATTTCTTCCAATTGTGAATATGGGCAGCAAAACACAGTGGTACTTGACTCCACCAGATTACCAGCATGGTCCATGACACCCACCCCAACCCATCCAGTTTTAAAGTTGATCTATGGATTGAGTCAAGAATATCCTGTCCTTCACCCTTGGATCCCTTTCTCATTTGCCCTTCTATACTGTTCATGGTCTATCAGTAATTATCCTTGGGCCATTTCTACCATCCAACTTTTTGGCTCCCAATTATGAGCTATTTAATGCTTCTAGAGAAAGTCATAAACCTAAGCTAACTGGATCCTGTTCAATCTGTTATTTGACTACAAGTGCTATGTGGCCATCCTTTCATCTATCAGTGATGGGCTCTCTAACTACGTTTCCCACGACGATTGTCAGAGGTCTTTTCTTCTTTCCTCAAGTCTCCATTACTTTTTCTAACACACTCTCAGCAAATGACCTTGCCTCCTACTTCACTGAGAAGACTGAGAACTCTGATAGTTCTGTTATTTCTCCTATTCCACTTCAGAACTTCTTTATATGAAATAATAATTTTCTACGTTTAAAGTTTAAATAGAGCTAATAGCCCTGCATTTCACAAATGAGGCAGTGAAGTCCAGAGAAACTGTAACTTGTCCAGATTCACACACATACCAAGTAGATCTGGGAGTCAAACTCAGGACCTCTTGCTTCAAAATTCAAAAATTGCTTCTGAAAATTAAAAAAACAGTATTCTCACTGTTCACCTTCACTTACCTTTTCTTCCTTTGCTCCCAGTTTCGAAGGATGAAGTGGTTCTTATTTTCAAGGCTAAATGTTTTTATTTGTGTCCTTTTCCTTTAGTAGCTTTCCTGGTCAGTCATTACCCCCTTTTACTTTCATTGTCTTCCTAATGTGCTGGCTCCTTGACTATGCCCTATAGACATTCTCAGATTTACTCATCCTTAAAAAGCCTTGATCTGATCCTGCTTTTTCCTTAAGCTATTTTATATCTCCTTCATGCTTCTTCATGCTAAGCAACTAAAATCAGTTATCTTACTGTTTCCGTCACTATCTACTCACTCCTTAGCTCCTTGTAATCTTACATCTCACTGCTCCAAGTGCTTTCTCAAAGATCACCAGTGTTGTAAAAGGCTGTATTGATTCATTTGTTTTTACATTTCAGTTCCCACACTCATACCTCTCAGCCCTAGAATTAAACCCTTCCCTGTAACAAACTACAGTTATCCTTTCCACGTTGCAACTTTCCCCATCATGGTTTCAGTATATCAGTGGTTGATATAAGAAATTAAATGAGAATTTCAGGGGGAGTATTGTAGAAGCCACATACAACATGGTAAGGGTGGAAGATGACACAGAAAAAGTTTAGAAACTCAGAAATGTATAAAATATGTATATAGTATTGTATAATATCAACAGATTTTATCATTTAATGCTATAATAATTCACTCTTCTTCTTTGGTGTGAAGGGAGGGCCAAAACTTTTACACAGATTTTCCAGATTGTGGGTTGCTGCACTCCTAACCACTGTGACCTGGAAGGGATAACTGTTTTAATCAGTAACAACTAGACCACATCTGATAGCTAGACTGCATTTTACCCCTATAGTGCCTTACCTCTCTGCTTAGGTGGGGAGACATGTTTTGTTATGGTTTTCAGTTCCTCAGAAATCAGCTTCCTTTCCTTTGCATTTTGTAATCATTTTATATACATAACAATACTCATTCTTATGACCTTTTGTTAGTGCTTATCATCTCTAACCTTTCTGCCACGTATTTTATATTATTGAGGACCATTTTTCCTGGATTTCTAGATAAGTCTTAGTCTCCTCCTCAGATACTGATATCTATAGTACTTAGGTTACAGGAGTATTAAGAAGTTAAAGCGAGATTATATAGTCAAAGAAATCTGTAATCTTTCAAGCATTATAAATGTTGGTGTCATCATTATTAATTATGATACTGCTTTTTCCCTTGATTTCACCAATACTGCTTTCTCCTAGTTATCCTAGCTGCCTTATCACTCTTTTTCTGTGTCCTTTACTCCTTCATTATCCACCACCCACATCCTAATTATGTGTGACACTTTCCTTCCTTATTCCCTCAATCTCTTCCCCTTCCTACCTCCTCCCCAAATCCCTGAGCCTCTATCCTGGGCCTTTTTATTCTTTTCTCTATATCTTCTCTTGTTAATCTTAAGCATTCCAAGAGATTTGATTATCACCTCTTTACACATAGCTACCCAAATCTGTCCCAAACTCTTGTTCCCACATCATTGCATCTTTGTTCAGACTGTGCATTTCCAAATCTGAATTCGTCTTCTTCCCATTCCCTACTTCTTTCTTTCCAAACTTTCCTTCTTTTTGAGGACAACACGGTTACCCTCACAGCCACCCCAGGTTTAAAACCTCAGGCCCACCTTCGATTCTTCCCCCTCCTCAATTCCCCTTAATGTCCCTGCAATATTTCTTACAACTGCCCCCTACTTTCCACCCACAGTAGCCATTACACTATTCAGTCTCTTTTCACTCACCTGTAATACTTTCATAATTGGCTCCTCTGCCTGTAATTTCACTCCTTTCTAGTTCTTCCTTCACATAGCTATCAAAATAATCTTCCTGAGGAACAGGACTGTCCATTTCCTCCTGCTGTTTAAAAACCTTCCCATGGTCCCCTATTGCATCTAGAATAAAATGCAAACTTCTTACCTGGGCATTTAAGGTCTATAACATAGCTCCACTGAACCTGCCTAGCCTTACTGGACATTACTTTCTGCCTTGAATACTCTAGCAATTACTAGCTGTTCTGTGAACTTGAAATTCTCTCTCCTTCTTCCTCTGTACATTTTGTACAGGTTCTCTTCCCATACCTTGAACGTCTACCTTCCTCATCTCCATCTCTGCCAGGCAAAAATCTCCTTCTCTATTAAAAGACCAAATTCATGTGTCACCTCTCCCTGCAGCTGAAAATAATTCTTCCCTGATCAAATTTTTACTGAACACTTCCACTGCCCCACTTCCTATTTCTGTAGACATTATAATCTTTGAGGAGAATCCAAGCCCCTTGAGAGCAGGGACTGTTTCATTTTTGTCTTTATATCTCTACTGCACACATAACAGATGCTTAATCAGTGTTTGTTGTGTTGGATGAAATTAAATTAAATTTGTTTAAGATTCCTGGTCATTTCCATATGAGTTATAACTGTAGATTGTGTCCATTAAAGTACTTTTTTTTTCTTTACAGGAAATCACTGTCCTTTGTAGCAAATTCACCCTGATTTTCCAGAGCCACTAGGCTATCAAGAAAATTTAACTTGTTTGCAAAAGCAGTTGAAACATCTAAAAGTGGTGTGCCTTCTGTCTCTTCAGAGCTCATTTGGAGGCCAGTGCTGAAAAGTGGAATAGTTTCCTGACTTCTTTAGAAGAGCTGATCCAGTGGCTAAACATGAAAGATGATGAGCTTAAAAAACAAATGCACATTGGAGGAGATGAAACTGCCTTAAAGCTCCAGCAAAACCATTGTAAAGTAAGTCAGCTCTACTCTATTGGAAATCTTTCCTCTATAATGTAATGGTATTATAATTGTCTTTAGTACCTTAGAGTAGGAGAGAAAAGGCTAGAGTGAATCGTGGAAGTCAAAATAAATTTATAAGTACAGTTTCTATGAACACCCTCTACAAAATTAAAACATACTTATTAATTTATTTAGCTCTCAGCCACTGACTTGAATTTATTCAGATAGATGTTTGTTTTATTCATTATCCTGAAATATTTTCAGAATTTTAAAATTATCATTAATGTAAGGTTTCTAAATGATCAGTCTTGCTGGTATATTTATTTTATTTTTAAATTTTTAAAATTCATTTTGAACTTAAATACATAAAGACAAAAAAAAAAGAATATTTCCATGTACACAGCACAGCATAAAAAGAGGATTCGATATAAAACCACAAATTTCTGTTTCACACAGTTTACTTTTTTTTTTTAAACTGTAAGTACTATACATTCTTTTCAAAGCTACTGTGTTTTTTTGGGCTTCCTTCTGAGTTTTCTTTTGTTCTCTGTTGTGCACTTTTTTTCTCCCTCCTTCCCTACTCTGCCCTAGGGAAGACTACCATTAGACACAAGTGTATGTGTGTATGTATGTATGTACATGTATACACACATACATGTACAATCATACAATTATGTACACCTATTTATCAGTTCTTTCTTTGGAGGTGGATAGCATCTTCCCATATAAGTCCTTTATAATTGATTTGAATATTTCCAATACTCAAAAAGACTTAATAATTCAAAGATTATTCATAGAATAACATTGATGTTACTGTGTACAATGTTCTTTTGGTTCTCCTCATTTCAGTCTTCATTACTTCATGCCAGTCTTTTTATGTTTTTTCTAAAATCAACTAGCTCATCATTTCTTTATAGCACAGGTGGTATTCCATCACTATTGTATACTACTACTTGTTTAGCCATTGCCTTTAATTTCCTGTTCTTTGCCACCAGAAAGAGAGTTACTAATAAATGTTTTAGAACATATGAGTTCTTTTCCTTTTTCCCTAATCATCTTGAGAAATAGACCCATTGATGATATTTTTAACTAGCTTATCTTAATATTTTGAAATGACCATATAATGGGTTGGAAGATTTTAATAACAAAATTTTTGTGATATTTTAGTTCAAAGCCTGGTCTAAAATAAAAGTGAGGCAACTAGTCATTGTGGTGGAAGATAGGCCCACTTTAAATCTTGGAGTACACACCCACACCCACACCCACACCCACCCACACACCAAGAAACCTGCAGGCCTTTCCAACTGTACCCTTATTTAAAAAAATATATATTTTTGTTTCTCTTTTCATTGTCAAACTTTCTGTCTCCCTTTCACTCTTCCCCGCCCACCAAAAACAAACAAACAAAAAAAACTCAACCCTACAATAAGCAAATCAGTACTTCTATTTTATGTATGTCATATAACCTTGAAAAGTGAGGTATATTATCAGTAGGATTGAATTATCTCATTTTTTTAGATATTTAAGGTTTTGTCATGCCTATTTGTAAGTCATTTAATTAAACCCTTCCCATCAAGTTTCTTAACCATTTTAGTTATCTTTTTAACATTTGTGAGTGGCCTTCTTCTATTAACTGTAAAAGGAGATCCATATATGCATCATTATCTTGAAGAAGGGTATTTCCTATGTTTTTTTTTTTAAAGAATGAAAGAACAGTATATAGGTTGTTGTTTTTCTTTTTTCGGGGGGGTGGGAATCTCATAATGAATATCTACACAAGTCATGCTGCTAAATATTGTTTTGGTTGAAAAAAAGCTTCTAATATAAGGGAAGAGGGTAAAGGACATTTATATTGTATTTTATGGTTTCAAATGTCTTTGCCTTAGAATAATATAGAAGGGTGAGGGAAAGGTTTTGTGGATGTGTGGGGGGAAAATCAGCAATGGAGCTTCATGGCCTGTGGCCTCATTCATTATTAATTGATTATTGCATCATGCTTCACAAGTAGAGATAATGCCTCCTAAAATTACATCACCTCTTTGCCTTAGACTCCTCATCAATTATAGATAATTTTCTACATAAAGCCTAAAGGAAAATCTGATACATTTGTACACTTTCATTTTGTTAGTAGTTTGTGTGTCCTTCCCTCCGGACAGTATATAGCACATACTGGTCAAACCATGCTATCATTCAAGTCAATTATATCTACCTCAAGATATAGACATAATATTGTCAATGGTGGAACAGACCATTCATTTGTCAAGCCACTGACACAATCTTCTGTCAGCAGTGACCTCATTGCCTATAGAAAGCCTATTCTATAGTTTGACAATTCTGTGTTCTGTTCCAGAGATGCTTATAGGAAAAGCAGAACCGTCTGTTTCTGTAACTGGTAACTTGCCAGTAGTATATCTGGAGAGGGGTGTGTTGTTTCTGACCCATGTAAATAGATTCACTCAAGCAGAATTCATGACTGTTTACTTCTTGTATAGCCTATGTTAGGAACTGGCAAACTTAGTAGTAAGAGCAATGGGATGAAACAAACCATATGCATTTTCCTGCCCATTCACAGAATGCCACAGGGTAAGGCAGAATTGTTTGGTGGAGGAAGAGGGAAAGGGCACTAGGACATTTTTTTTTTCTAAACTAGGGAAGCTGAGGTTCCGGAAAATTCAGTAACCCATGTGACACACAGCTATAAGTAATAGAGCCAATTAAAAGTGAGCTTTTAAAATGTAACGGTTCTCATTCTGGCATTATATATTAAGAGAGTTGTAAGATTGCATATGTTCTCATGGGTAAAGTCATCGTGCTGATTTGACTCATTTAGGTAAGAGAGTGAATAGTAATCTCTTAATTGATAGTTTATAATTTTGGGTGCTAGGGAATTAGATGAAGTCATTGATACATTATTTTAATTTGTGATGATTGACAAGGTGTATTAGGGTGATTAAAAACTGGAGAATAATTACTTTAATTTATAACATATCAAATAAGATAATAATTGTAAATTACTTAGCATGGTGCCTGGAACATAGTAAATATTATATAAATGTTAACTCATTATTAGCTATTATTAATCCCTGTTTCAAGAGGGAACAAATATAAGGAAAGTACAAATCAAATAATTATTTATATTAAACTGATTTAAGGTTTGAGCAAAATGATTTCTCAAATGTTAAACAACTACTCATGGTTATACAAAAACTCACTGGACAGAATTTGCTATAATTTTGTAAGTTAATGAATACATTTAATATATGTGACCTTAAATTCTGATTTATATAGGATGTGCAGCCTGAAGGTGGATTTGGCATGACTTGTCTAAAGGCCTACCAGGCATGCTTATCAAATTTGCAGATGACAGGAAGTTGGAATGGATGGCTTACATGGTGAAAGACAGGATCTCAGGCAGATTAGGATTATGGGCCAGTTAGTTAAATAAAAACAAGTTTATAGAGGTGAACATAAAGGCCTATATTTGAGTTTGAAAATTTAACTTATTAAATGGTGAGAGAGAGGTATGACTAGACAAGAATTCAAGTGGATAGGAGATAATGATGTTTATCTAAAACTTAGAGTAAGTAAAAGTGTGATATTATTCAGAAAATGTAGGTTAGATCCTGATTATGTAGTACCTTGATTACAAGAAAAATAAGCTTATATAAGATAAATATGCTACATTAGGAAGATTACTCCAGCAGTGTTGTGAAAGATGGCGTAGAACAGATTTGGACAGAAAGAAAGACTTAGGAAGGAAGCCGTGAGAATCATCTAGGGGAAAGGAAAAAAGTGTTTTAAATTAGGGGGGTAGTGAGATTGTGAAGAAGGCAATGGATTCATCAGATATTTCAAAGGAGGAAACAGAAGTTCAGGCAAATGGGTGACTTCCTTTTCTGTCACTTCTCAATTCAATCTTTCATGTAACAAGCATATATTAAGGGGCTAATATATGCCAGACACTGTGCTTTCTGCTGGTGATACAAAATAAAAATAAAAATCTTTAATCTAAAGAGACATATTTTATCAGGGTGTACCAAAAGTCTTAGTGCAGTTTTTAGCTTTTGAATGGTGTATGCAAAATAAGTAGCTAAATTCAAGATGTTTTTAATACAGTTAGAGAGGCAGAGTACTAGCACCCAGGGGTGGGGGAGGACAGAGAAGGTTTCATGTTGATGTTGGCATTAAAACAATATCTTGAAGGAGGTGAGAGACTCCTCTGTGAGTTGGACATATGGAGAGAGTGCATTCCAGACATGGCTAATAGACAGTGAATAGGCACCAAGATGGGAGATGGAGTTCTGTGTGAGGAACATAGAAAAGACCAGTTTAGCTGAAACATAGCATGTAGGAAGGGAAGGAAGCCAAGTTTAATCAGGGTAGAAAGATACATTGGGCTAGCCCAGGGGTGAAGAACTTGCAGCCTGGAGGCCATGTGTGGCTCTGTAGGTCCTTAAGTGGGGCCCTTTGACTGACTCCAAACTTCACAGAACTAATCGGTTTGTTCTGTAAAACTTGAACTCAGTCAAAAGGCTGCACCCAAGGACCTAGAAGGCCACCTGTGCCTGGAGGCTGCAGGTCCCTCATCCCTGGGCTAGCTTGTGGAGGACTTTAAAAACCAAACATTTGTATGTTATCCAAGAAGATATAAAGAACCATTGAAATTGATTGAGTAGGAAGGAACATGGTTAGATCTACATTTAAGGAAAATCACTTGCAGAGCTGTCGAACACATGGCCCACAACACTCTCAGTGCCAACTGAAACAGATTAAAATGTAATTGGGAAATATTTAACAAAATTAATAAAAAATTCAGTGAAGCATAGATGATGTTAATATGGGGTTTTCTAAGTTAATATACAGCCTATGGGGATCTCTATGTACAGGTTAGTGACCACTGCTTCTATTTGCATTTGATGTCAAAAATATAGAGGATTGATCTTTACACTAGAGAATCGGGGAAAAAAAACTTGAGACAGGGAAAATAAAGAAATCATTGCAGTAGTCCAGCT